TATATATATATTGATAGTAAATTATTATTTTATACTATCATTTAATTATAAATTATATATATATAATAGTTGGTATGGAAAATTAATTAGCATGATAAAATTTATTAAATATTTAATCATTTAATTTATTAATCTTTTATCATCATATTTTTTTAAATTTACTCACGAACATCTTTTAATTTTCGACGAATGACATTTTAGACAGATAATCTGTGGAAAATATTTGCCAAAAACATCATAATTTTCCCACGAAAAAAATTCGTGGGTAAGACAATCTGAAATTTCATATGGAAAACATCCGTGAGAAATATCTGTCTGAAACATCATAATTTTCCCACGGAAAAATCCGTGAGTAAGATCATTTGAAATTTTAGATGGAAAAAATATGTGGGTAATATCCATCGGTAATGTCGTTTTTCCCACAGATATTTATATGTGGGAAAAAATCTATGGGTAATGAGTATTTTTCTTGTAGTGTAACAATTAATCAAGATATAGTTAAACAACATATGTACGTTCAAAATTAATCCACAAGATGCAACAAAGTCTATACTATTCATATCATTAGTCATCAATTTATAATTCATAATCGATTAATGAATGTTATGTTCATGTAATGGATAAGATTCTCTTAAAATATATGCATGTGTCGCCAATAAAATCACATATCTCAACCCGAAGGCATGAATAGCCTAGGAGAATATGTCGTGTGTAACACCTCGATTTTCACAAATTATATGAAGACTCAAAGCCCAATAACGGTGATTTAGTAGCCTAGAACGGGTTGTTCCCAAACTGGAACGTGCCATTCCAAACTACTAAAAAGGCCTATAAACCCTAGATTGGAATGGGTCGTTCCAACACAGGTTGTTATGAGTAAAATTCAAACCTAAAATGGCCCATTCCACTTTGGGAACGAGTCGTTCCAAACAAGGCCATTATGAGTTAAAACTCAACTCCACAATGGGCCGTTCTAGTTTAAGAACGGGCCGTTATAGATATGAATTTTACACATGACGAATGTGAAGTTAGACATGAAACACATAGAAGGGAGGTTGAATATGTGTGTGTGAGTACGAAGGAATTTTAAAACTATTTTTGCAAGAGTAATGTTTTTCGTCCAATGCACTTTTAAATACCAGACGGTTATGCAGAATTTGCTTAACACAAGGTCACTGCGTCTGAACGATTTATCGACTGCTGAAGAAAAATGTTTCGTATACCAATAATGATTAAGGTTTTCTTGCATTTTCCTTTTCAAGATAGTTTCAGTTAAGGATAGGCAGTAGATAAAACTTTTTAGTGAATATATTTGTTAAACAAAATTTGCGTCTTCGTCTGAAAAGTGGTTTTAATGAAGAATAGACACTAGACGAAGTTTTCAACTTAATTTGTCAATTAAGAAGGGTTTGCGTCTGAAATATAAATAAAACACTTCAATCATTTTTATACTGGTTCGCTCAACTGAGCTACGTCCAGTCTCCTTTAACTGAAGGGTTTCACTAAATATGCAATTAAGTACAAAAGAATTGTCGACCACTTATGGCCCGTTGACTTCACTCATCAACGCTAGTATTTTCTTATCAGCTTCTTCAGGATAACATTGAGTATTATGGACCACCCAGGTTAGAACCACTCTTGGTCCAAGTATTTTCGACCTCTTTAGGCCTTGAGTATTCTAGACCATCCTGGTCACGGCCACTCCTGGTCATGAGTATTCTCAACCACTCTTGGTTGGCTAGCTAGCTTCACTAACCAGCTCTAGTATTATTAAACCACTTCTGGTTCCCCAAGTATTCTCGACCACTCATGGCCCGCCAGCTTCACTCACTAGTGCTAGTATATTTTTATCAATCACTTCTGGCTAGCAGTGAGTATTATGGACCACCCAAGTCAAAACCACTCCTGGTCCAAGTATTCTCGACCACTTCTGGCCCGCCGCCAGCTTCACTCACCAGTACTAGTATTCTTTAATCAGCCTCTTAAGGCTCGTAGTGAGTATTCTTTAACAAGCCCCTCCGGGATTTACAAGTATTCTTTTCCTAACCTCTTCAGGCTTTACAATATTAGTTAGACAAGTTTGGTTTGAGTGTATGAGTTACTCTCATAGAGAGGATACATAGGTTTCTACACTCACTAAGGTATGCAACCTTAGTCTTTACAACGATTGAGTGTTTGGTTTACTCTCATGGAGAGGATACATAAGTTGGTACACTCACTAAGGTTTTGTTCCTTTGTTGAGTATACATGGCCAACGGCCAGCCAAAAAAGCCAACCTTCTTCGGTTTGAGGTTATTGCATACTTGTAGGCATGTAAAATTTGCCCGTTGAATATGTTCGTTGAAGCTGATATAGTCGTTCATGAATAGTTTGATCCTTTCATTTAATGCACTCAATCTTGCATTAAATGTTGCTTCCTGTTTATGAACAATGCGTATACTGTTCTGAATCTGTAGATTCTAACTTTCACAGAATCCTAGGGATTAGCTGCAAAGACGTTATCTTTATCAGAAAAGTAGGTGTCCTTTTTCTGACACACTCGGGATTTGACGTTTTGTGCTTACTTTCCTTCTTTCTTCTTTTCTTCTCACAATTTCGATGACTTTATGTGTTCTCCTGTGAGTGTGGATGATATTCAAATTGTTCTTTGAAACTTGATTCCTCAGGTGATTGCGTGACAATTTTCTTCTGCGTCTGGTAGTCTATGTGTAGCTCAATACTTGACCACTGTCTGAGCATTTGTTATTAACTCATTGAATTTTTCTTTCATCTTGTCATCTA